GACTCGCATCAGTTAGACTCACTGCTCGCAAAGCGAGTATTTCTCACCTTACCAGGACATGAATTCCTCGCTGCGTGTGAATGAAATGTTGTTGTTGTTGTTGTTGCTGTTGTTGTTGTTGTTGTTGTTGTTGTTGTTATTGATGCTGTTGGCGGTGACGGTGCTGATACGGAAACAATGCTTTGTACATGTTGCTTGTCCGATGGCCGAGCTGACATGTCAGCCGGTGAAGATGCTGTGAGTGGAAAGCCCTGCTGTTCGGCTTTTCGGAACATTTCTAGGATCTCAGACAGGTAGGGGCTGGGGATGTGCTGAGAAGCGCTTTGGCGCGTGATGTCGCCGAGCCCCCGACGCCTCCAAGTTGGCAAGAGAGGCAACCGCCGTGTTCAATGCGTGCAGCCCTCAGAAGAATGTGCTTGGAGGTGGCATTGCTGTCGTTGCAAATTGAGACATCCTGGGCTGAGGCCGTCGTATGTGGAATTGCAGTAGTTGCGGCTTTGCTATTGCAGCTGCTGTGTTTCGCCGCGTTCACCCCCAGCAGTGTGGATGGTGGTCATAAGGGCAGCTTGGACTGTAGTTGATGCTGGCCGACACGTGTGCATCATGATCCAATCGCTTTCCCTCTCGACATCTCGTGCCTCTAGGTCTGCTTGCTATCTCTCCGCAGGCTTGCGAAATTCAATAGTCAAAGCAGCAGCAACAACTCCCGCAACATCTGCGGGTGTTCAGCGGCTTGGCGTCATTCAGCTGTCAACGCTGAGGCAGCAATGAGTGCAGCTCCCATGAACGATTATGACTGTGGCCAGAGCATCATCCCTCTTCAGAAATGGGTGGGGGTACCCCCGTTCATAAAACGGATTCCATGCCATGAGTTGACTCTGGCCCCTCTTTTTATAGAATCAAAATTTTTTGGTGATGGTACCCCGGTACCCCGCCCCCATTTTATTCACAATATTTGGGGTGGGGGGTGGGTAACCGTCACTGTGACGCGTAAAGAGGCCGTCACTGTGACAATTTACGGCTTTTAAGGGAGGGGACATGTTCCCGTGTGTTTCCCAATAATCAAAGCCCTCTACACGAAAAGTACAAAAACAAACCAAAGATATGAAGGGCTGAAAGAAGAATAAGGGAAAGCATGCCCATAAACAGAACACATTCAGTGTATATATGTATGTATATATATATATGAAGCATTTACATGGATATGTTACACCATGCTTCATCTGTGTTTCTTTAGACCTCCTTTGCACCAGTGCTTGGTACCATGTCCCTGTGGCTGGGCCCAGGGAGGATTATGTAAGGAGTTTACACGCATTATATAGGGGTTATGTGAGGATCAAACCCCAGCGCTCGGTACCACGTTCCCGTGGATGCGTCCTGAGAGGCCATCTTTCGTAATCCTCGCGAAGTCCCTTCTAACCCTCACATCATCCCTATATAATCCTGATGAATCGCTTCTCTAATCTGCACATAATGTTTTTATCATCCCTATGGAATCATTACATAACCTTCACATGATCCCAATATAATCCCTATATAACCTTCACATAAACCCCATATGATCCTAACATAGTTCCCAGACCCCCTAAAGGATCCAAAAAATGGAACCTCCCCATAATCCCCTAGTTTCCGCAATGTAGTAATGGGGGTCATTTTGGGGGGTTCAATTTTTGGGATCCCCAAGTAATCCTCACATGATCCCACGTATAATCTCCACATAATTTTAACATAGCCCCCATATCCCTATATAATCCTCACATGATCCCTGTGCAATCCCTATATAATCCCTACATATTCCCTATAGCTCCTATATAACCCGCACATACTCCCTACAAGATCCCGATATAATCCCCATCTAATGCCTATATAATCCTCAAATAATCGCCCCTGGACGGAGCCAACGGGACGTGGTACCCAGCACTGGTGCGAGGGAGGCGTAATAACACAAAACATTTAGGCAATGTATACTTATATACGTACACCGTATTTATACTGAATCCTTCCTTTATTCTTCTTTCAGCTTTTCACATCCTTGGTTTATGTTAGTATTTCACTGTTCTTGCAGTCCTTCATATCTTTGATTTATCTTTGTACTTGTTTGTGTCAAGAGCATCAACGAGCTATCTAAGCCACTATGTTTTTACATGTTGACGTCCCAAAAATCCTGACATAATCCCTCTATGAAGACTGTATAAACCCTATAGAAGCCTTGTATAATCCTCACATCATACCTAGATTGGTAGAGGAAAACCAAAAATGAGGCAAGGTGGCAGACATATGTATATATCCTATGTTCATATACACCTGTACACACTGTATTTTATGCGGTTCAAGGGCATGCTCCCTTTGTTCTTCTTTCAGACCTTTAGATCTTTTTTCTCACCTCTGTATTTGTTGGTGTCACGAGCATGAAAAATCAAAAGAAGATTTCCTTACATAGGGACGCCTCCTCCATTTCATAAAAATATTGACAATGGTACCCTTTCTCATTTTGTGACTTTTTTGCAAGGGCCTTATGAATTGACGACACCCTCCACCGTGTTGTGAAATGTTTCTGGGGGCCAGAGGGGCAACAACGGTCCCGCTCCGCATTTTATAGTATATGATTGCAAAATAACGGGGGCTGAGGTCACGGTCAGAACTTTAAAGGGAGACTTGAAGGGGGATGAACAGTGCAACGCATGGCGTGCATTGCTGCCATGTAGCGGACTGCAAATGCATGTGAAGGCGGCTTGATGGACTTCTGGAAGGCTGTCACTGTACTTGGTGCGAGTTGTGCAGACTTATGACCTGCTAGTGTAAGCAGTCTGTGCTTTCCAGAAACGTCAGGAGAGCGCTTCCTTGCCACTTGCCAAATTTGTGGGCCGGTTCTGTTGGCAAGATCTATAGATCTATGAGACGCAAATTAGCAAGTGCAAGTTCTGCGTGTGCCAAGCAGACCACCAAGGCCATGAATCGCTATCGCATCAGAGAAGCTGGTGAAGCTCAGTTTGAGCAGCGCTGGGGTGGTGCTGATGCAGCCCTCGCTGGACGCTTTGAGAAAATGTGATTTTAGGAAACAGCTTGCGCCGAAACAGGCATGCAGCTGCGGGAACCTTGATTGCCATATGCTTGCTTGCGGCTTCAAGGCATGGATGGATTTCGTTGGTTCTGCCTGTTGCGACGCGTGCCGAGCACCCCTAAGTCAACTGGAGCGCTTTCTGCCAGACGGCTTGATTTGGCTTGATGCTTCAGTAGCTACAGTAGTGGTAGCTTGTTGCAGCGGCCCGCGTCTCTTGGTATCTGCAGTCAAATCAATGCGGGGTGATGGTTCCAGATAGTTGACACGTGCGAAAAAACAAAAGTTGAGTTGAGTATTGTTTGCCATGTGGGTAAATATGACGGGGCGCTGCAGAACGAAATCCCGGAAACAAAGACTGGTTGAAGACTTATTTGAGGGCAAGCCTGAACACTTGTCCTGCCGAGATATAACGAGAGAACTCGACTGCTGCCCTGAAAGAGTGAGAGCGCTCTCCCTCTACGACCCCCATCCTCTGCCCCCCTGTCATTCTGCCTGGCCTCACAGTGTGTCACCTTATCTTGGGAGGCGGTTCTAGTGTTCCCTTAGAGGCTTGGGCGTGGAAGGTTGTAGGGTTGTGTAGTTCTGGGCTTAGCCTGCGTGTGAATGGTTGTGTCGAGAGTGTTCGGGATGTTAGGGTGATTTCGGCATTATTGGGTTCAAGATTTGCGTCTGAGCCTCTTTGGTGGGATCCGGTGGGCTTCAAGATTTGGGCATTTGAATTGGTCAATGTGGAGGGTATGGGGGAAAATGCTCGGCATGCTGGGGTGCGCCATGGCCAGGGTTTAACGAAACGGTTCCATACGCAATACCACCGCGCCTGGATCCAAGGTTGTGTACAATTATGATGATGAGCAATTTGAAGACGAAACTTGGCCAGCCTATTGACGACATGCCTATCCGCGCAAGTTTGCAAGGCAGTTGCTTGTGAGGACTACACCTACATCACCCTGAGCGTGTGGGATTCAAAGGTGCAATTTGAAGCTGCCAGTTTGGCGCAGACTCCTAAGGCCGCCGGTGCTTTCAGAAAAAGCATGTGCTGTGATGGTGCCCTCGTGCTTCAGGACGCGGATGCAGAAGGCAAGGCTACCTTCACAAAGATGGTGGAGAGCTTGGCCTGCATGTGTGCCCTTTGCTCTAGCAAGGGCTGCTGGTCTCTGTGTGCACTCTTCAAGAAAGCTCTGCGTGAGCTTCTCGGGTCGGATGCAGATCGCCCAGCTGGAAACGCCAATGATGGTTTTGATGTTGCCAGGCATTTGTCTTGAAAAGGCTCGCCGAGGAACCGTGAAAAATCACTATGATTGTCACAGGGATTTGAAAAGAATGGCTATCGCCGTTCGCTGCGAGACCGTTTTTCTGTTTTGCAGTGCCAGAATCAAGGAGAGGCGATTCCACGAGAGTGTTGGGACAAGGGCCAGGAACAGGTTCGGACGGGTTCAAGCCTCTTGGTGCCACGATGGTGGGGCAGGACATGATCATTGCTTGGCCTCATACACCCTCGCCGTATACGGTATAAGAATCAAACCTGATTCAGATAAGGATCAAGCAGAATTGGAATTTCTAGTCGACAGGGAATCGCCTCAAGAATCGCGAGGAAGAAATGAAAGGAAGAAAGGAGGGAACGAAGGAAGAAGGAAGCTGTGCAGCAGGCAGGAAGGACGCAGCTTCTCCCCCCTTCACTAGACCTGGCCACGGCCGGTTGGTGAGCCCCCCAGCTTGACAACCCTCACAAAACGACGCGAGAACGTTGTGCAAAACGACTTGCGTCCGTCCCTGTAGATACGGAGCCCGATGTCTGTGCCCAGGGATTGAGTGCAAATATCAAGAACCTTTTTGTCGAAGGCTTTGAGTGTGGCAAGCTGTGCGCCGTTGCAAAGTGCAATGGCGTTTCTGAAGATTTTGCTGGGTGCGTGCGAGCCATGCCGGGGTTAGGTGCGCCCCGTCGATGCTGATTTCAGGCGTTTCATCAAAGAGTGCGCTGCTTACGGGCTGTGGTGCGGAGTGTGCGGGACGTGCGTGCCTCGCTTATGTCCTGGTATTGCTTCTGTGACATGCGCAGTTGCCAGAGCACCCACTTAATGCCGCCTTTTGGCTCGAGCCATAGGTGCACCAAGCTTAATAAACGCATGCTTGGCATTGCATATGCGTCTAATTGTTCGCCCGGGTAGTTGCCTTGAACGTGCTCTGCATGCGTTGCGCTGCCTATACGTCAAGGCGTGGGGGCGCATGCTCTGCCCACACGTTGGAAGCTAAAATGGAGGGCGGTGCGGAGGGCCCGGATGGAGTCGTGCAACTGCTGCGCTGTGATCTGGGTCCGTAATGCGAAGCTGCATCTATAGTGAAGAAGGCAACTTTGACACGAAGTCGGAAAGTCTGAGATGCTGGCCATGCCAGTGTCCAGCAGGGCCTGCTGAAGCTGTTCTGGCACTTGAACGTGTCCCAGGAGGGACTGCAGGCCTTCGTTGGAGTCTACATCCCCAGTTGGGGTCCATACCTGTGAAGCTGCTAAGACGAAAGGGGGGGACCTTTAAAACCTCCAAAGTGGAGCCAAAAGAGCTGAGGAAAGCGGAAAGTGCGCGCAAGTGCAGCTGTGGAAAGAGCACAGCATGGGGCACATGTAGTCGAAGAAGTTGATAAAGACCTGACAAGTTGTGGTGCGGAAAATGGGGGGGCCATGCAACCATGCAGTCACAAAGAAGCTCTATTTTAACAGTCCGCGGTTGCTAGCAGGCACGCTCTGCGCCTGC